CTGGCATGTTAAATTGCAAGGCTGGAATTGGGAGCTTGGTAGAAGCCCATCTCCACATTTCAATCCCAATGAAAACTGTCAAAGAAGAGAGGAAAATCGGGCTACTCAGAGAAGGGGCATATCCCTTGCCGTGTCCCATTCGCAGCGTGACATCACGTGGGCTGCGGTGCTGTGAGGTCACGGGAGGAAGTGAGGCCCAGGACGCAGCTGTTGCAGAAAACGAAGTAGATCCGTGGCTGCTTGGAAAACAGCAAACTCAGAAGGCAAGTGACAGCATATCTCTTTTTTGTTTTGTTCTAAATTGTAATGTGAGAAAAGTAGGCTCAATATGGCTTTGACGTGTCAGCTTAGCAGGGCCAAACTGGTCACTGCATCTTCCGGTGACTGCGGGCCACCCCTGGGCTCCCGCGTGACCCTGGGTCAGTCTCCCTCTGCTGATCGGGAGTAAAGGGCCTGGAAAGGGGGTCACTGAGGTGCCTTCCGGCCCTTCCAATCTCGATTCCAGCAGCTGAAAACCTTCTAGGTAGCGCTGCCCGGCCGCTCTCGTGCATGAAGCTGGTCTTGGTCATAATGAACCTACAACATTACCGTAGGTGTTTCTGAATCGTCAGAGGTTGCGCTTCGTTTATATTAAGACGTGTGATTTTGTCCTACTTCTTATACTAGTCTCCCCCTAATACTGTATTAGCCAGAATGTTCCATCACTCAGAATAGTCCATTCTGGATCCACACAGAATACGATAAATTTTATTATAAATAGAAAAATATTTAAATATTGTAAAAATGGTAGAACCACTAATACGTTACAGTTATGGCTTAAAAGCCCCTAATTCACAGTAATTCACAACCTAAGAGAAAAAGAACTGACCTCACTCATTACCCAAGGAAACGCTGTGTTGAATTTTAATTATAAAGGTCGGTTCTGAAAGGAAAAGAGAGGACGCAAACTCCACAGTTCAAGCAGGTTTATGGCTAAACCTGAGAGGGCCCCCTCTGTCCTGGCCAGCAGAACAAAGAAAAAGGGGTCTCTTACAGGCCAAGAGGCTTTTTATGGCCAGATTTTTTGGTGGGCTTTTTGAGGGGAGGGGTTGGGATACGTGGGCTTGTGGCCTGCTGACGTGTCCTCCAGAGAATGCCTGTAGCCTAGGGAAGATGACACCTACACCTCTCTCAAATGGCAGGTGGGCTTATTCAAAAAGGCGGTCCTCCAGTCTGGGCTCTATCAGGTTCAGTATTTGTATCATCCAGGTTGGCAGAATGTCTTATATACCCTTTATCAAGCTTCCTAGAATTTTGAAGCTGTTTTCTCCTCCATAAAATAGGAATAGCACCTATTTCAGAGAATAAAGAAGGTGGGGGGAAATCAGGCGTGTGAACTGCCTGCTGCACAGCAGGTGTTGATGACTGTCAGTGATCATAGATGCTGCAGCACACTGACTCCTTGGCAATTTCCTTCTCTGTAAAGGATTCTCCAGCCAGTGCATGACGAAGAAATAAGACTTACTGCATCACGTCTGTCGTCTTAACTGTGTCGCCACATCGGTCAGCTTGATAGCACTTCTCTAACTTGTGGCCTAAGAAATGTAGATACCTCCTCTTAGTTTATTATAAAAAATATGGCTGCTCTAATTCACAGTACCTGGTTATTCTCTCTAGAAGAGATTGGCACCCATTCATTAACTCTTTTTGCCTGACCCCAGGAGTACCAGTAATAATAGCTGCCTTATCCTCAAATGAAAACATATACTAACATAAACAACGAATCCAGAACAGGCCTTGGTTATAAATGTTATGCTTTATATTTGAACTTGGACTGAATCACAGCATAGTCCCTAAATATAAAAACGACCATGGCAAAACCCTGACAATCTTCAGGAATCGTGCCCAACCCTAGGAAGACAGTATGACCACTTACAACTTTACAAGAGATTTTAAGTAATTTAGTGTTTGTTTCTATAATAGTTGGAAGAGAAGATGAATCAGAATGCTCAGTTTTTCATCTTGGAAAGTTGAAAGTCTCCTTACCTCTCTTAATGAGGTCACCCAACACCTGTAAGAGAGAATCGTGGGCATCCTTATTCTGTCTTGTCAGTTCCCTCCCTTCTTTTTGGAGACCTGTTTGTCCATTGTCTTCTTTGCTTTACAGTTCAGAAAAGGTGAGCTTGTAATTTTCCCAAGTCCTTATAAAGAAATGTCTGTATTTTTGCTCCCTGTGTGTGTTGACTGAGGTCAGAATAGTATCACCTTTTGTGACAGGAGCATAGAGCCCCACCCCGTCCAGTCGCTGGCCTTGGCATCTCCACAGCCTGAGTTTGTGGTGCATCAGGCACACCCAGAGACAGGCCACAGGGCGCATCAGGCACCCCTAGGAGACAGGCTACAGGGTGCGTCGGGCACCCCTAGGAGACAGGCCTGCCCACAGGGTGCGTTGGGCACCCCTAGGAGACAGGCTGCAGGGCGTGTCGGGCACCCCTAGGAGACAGGCCCACCCACAGGCAGCTTGTCCTGGTTCAGCATCAGGATTCATTTGGGCACAAACGCTGCCTAAGACACTGGCTCTGGTGACACACCCTGCTTGCTTGGAAAATGATGTGTTTGTTTTTAATCAACATTGCTCATAATCTGGCTTAATGATGCCATAAATGCCTTAGTTTACTCTGCCCCAGGTAAATGAAAATACTTGCTGTGAAAAATAGGTTATTAGTTTTTTAGCCCTACTTACTTTAATACCTCTGTCAAAAATATAAGAAGAGATATTAAATCTCTATTTTTAATAAAATTATTGACATAACTGGGGAGTTTTATAACACTTGACATTTGCTTTCAGTGTTGGAGAATGAAGAAGAAAGTAAATTGATTTGGTATTTATTTCCTAGGTTGCAATACAAGAAGTTACTCTAAACATGAAATATGTGCACTTCCTCTGAATGCAGTGGGCAGAATGGGTTGTTGGTTCTGGAAATGAACAAAAGTCGTAGAATAAAACGGGTGCTGTGGTAAATGATGATGATGTAACCCGATTGCTGAGGGGAGCCGCTCCATGGTGTTCATCTTCCCAGTCCTGTTGCCCCCTGGGCGCCCTTCAAAACTGGTGTGGAATAGTGTTTGGACCCAGAAAACACAGTTCACGGGTGAAAATACAGTTCATTTTGGTGAAAGTTAACTTCACCAGTGCTCTCGGTGTCACTTCTGCTGCGAGAGTTAAACAACTCTCAGAAAAAAGTGTTTGAATGTGAATTTCCTTGCAGAGACTCTGTCCGTTTTCCCATAGGATCTGCTGCTAGTTAATGACCGGAGATTAGGGAACAAGACGCTCTCAAGTGGATGCCAGTGTCTGCTGGGCACGGGTGGCTTGCGAGCTCCGGAATGGCCCGGCCAGGCACAGTGGGGGCTTGGCGGGAGAGAGGAAATCCACGTGTCCTAATGCAGGGTGACCGAGGAGGTGAGCCCGTGCCATTAGCAAGAAGTGCTTACTAACATGTCTGCTCTCTGACACCATTTCTCACTGGTCTTAAAGAGAACTGGTCTTTGAAGACATGAGACCCATTTACCTGAGAATGAGCCCAGTCAACAAGTTTCCTGGTTGGGCCATTGAATTGCTACCAGATTCTCTTGAAAAATGGCCTTTTCTGTCATGGTCACTTCCATTTTGAGGAAAAAGCCTACAAAACTTGTACACAGGCCAGCTGAAATATGGTTCATTTTATCGACTGTACCTAAACCATGTCCAAGAGACCGCCTAGATTCTTCGTTTTCTCTTGCCTTACTAACGATGATGCCAGCTTATTTACCCCAGCAGTGTTCTTAATGTAGATGTTAAACTGTGTGATAGATTTTTTAATGAATTTTTAATTACTTTCTGCTCTTCTGAGCTCATTGCAATCAGCAGCCATCTTGCTGGAGGATAACACAGAACAAAACCAGCTCCCGGGGGGCCGAGGCTTCCAAACAAAGCTTTCGCAGGGATGCGGTACAGAGGCCCATTGTCAGCCGCAGCTGCTGGACGCCTTCCGAGCCAGGCCCCACTGCCAGAGGGGTCAGGAGGCTTTGAGTTTTCCACTAGCTGTTCCTTTCCTCTAATGAGGTCACCTCTCAGCCCAGTAGGGGGGTCGCCTCTGCTAATGGGGCTTCAGAAATGCAGATTGCAGTTCAGGCCTTTGTTTCCGGATAGCGCCCATAGTTTCCAAACAGCCTAAGGAGCTAGAAAGGAGGACAGCGCCTGCAGAGATAGGCACCGGGCCTGGGGAGGGCCCGTCCTTCCTTGAGTACCACCCGAGGACTCCATGCTGTTCCATGCTGTCTCTTCTTAGGAGCAGAGAGGGGGACAAGTGTGGGCAATGCTGGCCCAGAATTCACAGTGACATTGCTGACATTTAAAGCTGTGTCATGTACAATTCCAGGTACTCAGGGTAAATTACATTATCCACATTATGCCAGGGAAAAATCCATAGTTCAGAGGCTTTAGGGGACCTGTCCCAGGGCCACCACGCTGGGCTCCATCAGCCACAAAATGGGAATAAAACCGTTATACTGGCGCTGCTGTTACAATTTTGTTTGTGAAAACACTTTGCAAATGGATGAACCCTCTGTAAATACAATGCCTGACTGAGTCCTGAAATACAGGTCTCTGAGAGTGGCACACAGACACTGCAGTCTCCCAGCCCTCCCTTCAGTGTTCTTCCAGGACCTGTGAGGAGAAGCCTGGGCGTGGCTCCTGGACTCACATGCAGGGTGACTCTGCTGTCGCCGTGACGGTGGGCGGCCAGACCAAGAGCCTGGACCGCCACCGGCCTGCTTACTTTCTGTTGCTTTGGCTGGCTCCTGGTTTTTGTTTTGTTTTTTTCTTTAATTAACCAGAGCAGACTCCATGTCTCATCTGGATTTACTGTCATCCTAATTCCTGAATATTTCTTGGATCTGAATTGTAACCTGATAATTCTCCTTACCCAGATATTTCTGCTTAGTAAGACGGGATGGAGGGTAGAACACGAGATTCTGCTTGAACTCCAGCCCCAAGCTGTTGAAGTGGGCATTCGTCCACGTGAAAACATATGCTGGAGGCTGGTCAGTTGGAGGCTCTGACAGGAAGCTCTGCATCCGATTTCACTGATGTACCGGTCCGTGCATGCGTACGTATCAGGCGCAGTTACAGGTCTGTCCAAGCAGTCTCCCTTACTCCTCGCAGCAGCTGTGGGGAGGGGGCACCACTGTCTCCTCTTTACAAAGGAAGATACTGGAGAGTCTCAGGAAAGGAGCTCTGCCCCCACGCAAGGGCTCTTTCACCCCCATGTTGCTTTTCTGCACGGTTGTAACCTCCTGACAGGTCTGTTCGCTCTGCTCAGGGTTCAGTGGTGGCTGAGATGGACAAGAGCCGATGGGTGACCAGCTCACCTCCCTGTCCTCCCATCTTCGGCTGAGAACGTCATTCTAGCTGCTCTCTAGGGGATCACACAGTACCCCGAAAGGCTTTAGGATTGCATGGCCATAGCTAACGGAAGTCCTCTAGATCTCTGCAATCTCCATCTCCCTGGCCTCTAAGTAAAAGTGCTTTTCTTCAAATATTAACAAACAAGATAAACTTATTTTCTTACATTCACTTTTTAGTGTTCCATTTAATTACTCATACTGTCACCATATTGCTCACTGCTACTTTTCATTGCAGATGGATTAGCTAAGCTTTGTTTCCCAGCCAGAGAACTAACTGAATTACTATTTATAATGCAGTTTCTATGGAAAATGAATTATAAATTTCAAGCAGCCTTGCAAGTAGAATTTTGGGATACAGAAGGAGTTTATTGTGCTTAACTTGAACAAGATCTTTTCTGTTAGTAGATGTGGAATCGTCTCTCAGAAGAAAGGTGACGTTGAGGAGCATATATTTGGGAGTTATTTGCATAATCATCAGAATTTAAAAGGATGGGAATGACTGAAAGTGGACTATGGGAATATTTGTTCAGCTGGTTTCATTCTCAAAGGCAAGACAATACAAGGCCAGCTTCATTTAAAACAAAAAATGTAAAGTTTGAATCAACTTTGCTGGTAAAAATTAATTTAAAAAGATACAAAAGTAAATATTTTAGGAAGGATCGGTGTAAATGGACATATCTTGACTTGTAAAAATATAAATTAAGCTATTGAGAATGTAATGTACTTTTTAGAAAAGCAGTGGATAGACTCACACATACTCCTTTGATTTAATTTAAACTCAGCCCATTTGGCTGCAGCAGATGAATGGGCCGCACACATGGCCCCGTCTGTATCGCATCTGGAGGAGTCGCTGGGGAATCCATGAGGCCTGACACCAGCCTGCTCGCCTGGTGTTTCCTGTTGAGAGTATCATGTATGACCCAAGTTGCTGTATTGGATTGAACTTAGCTGGTGTTTATTGAGCATCTTTCTTATGCCAGCAGCAGCACAGCCACTGGGAGGGGGACCAGCAGGTGGCTCTTTCCCTTCCATTAAGGAATTTGTCATTCAGTCAGGGAGGCCAGACTAACACACGTCGGTCAGTCAGGGAACATGGAAGAGAATGAACTGTTCCCAGGTTGTCAGGGAGTTTTTACTTTGGGGACACCAGGAGAGAGATCTCTGTGAGCTGAAGCCGTCTAGGGAGACTTGGTGAAGGAAGAGGTATTTGGGATGAGTTTGAAAGGGTTCAAGACAGAATATAATCGTTACACTCAGAACACAGGGAAAGGTGATCTGTGTGGGGAGGGAGGGTCGATCGAAGACTTGGCCCTGCGGCTGAAGGAGGCTCATAGATGGAGTGTTCGCAGCAGGTGTTTTAAGAGAGAAGATTGAGGTGTGAGGCAATTTTGAATGCCTGGTTAAGGGATCTGGTCTTGATCAAATAAATAATAGGAGCAGGATACGACCGACAAGTCAGTGTGGTATTGAACCCCAAATTGTAGAGGTTGGAGCAAAGCCAGGTGGGGTGCTGGTCCCTCTTTAGGACATTGCCAGCACACTGAGCTCTGGGATCGTAAACACGCAAGGGGAGTGGGCTCAGCCCAGAAATGCCAGCTGAAACCAAACGGAGAGAAATATAGAGTGCAGATAGAAAGACTCTTGCAGAAGACAGACCTTAGCTGAAGGCCCCTTGTCGGTGCGCAAAAGTCAGGCCCAGTCGGGAAGCACACGTGGGGCTCTAGAGAGAGAAAATACCGCCAGGTCAGCATGGCCCTTTCGTGGTCCTGAAATCACTCCTTGTTCGTGAAGATTATATGGTCTGCTGGGGAGGCTGACAGTGATGAGACCACTGGATGTGGTCAGGAGACAGTCCACTGCTTGACAAATTCAGGGAACTTTTCACTCTAAAGCCAGCTTGGCGTTGGGAAAAAAAGCGTCAGATGTCCCGGGGCATTTTTCAAGACCCCACACTCAGCCTACTGCTGAGTGCAGTGGCAGTGGGGACAGGGGCGTCTGTCCTTTCGCCCTTGCCTTCTGCGTCTGCCGCCACCTTCACGCGAGGCTCCCCACGGGGCCGGGCTGTGCTGGAAGAGCCCGGCGCCCCCCATGGCTCTCAGCCGTTGGCTCCGAACTTTGTCACCGGGTGGGCCGCTGTGCTCTGCTCTCGTCCCCCGGGGCACAGAGCCCACCAGCCCAGCGCTGTACTGGGCTCAGCAGCTGACCTGGAAAGGACAGAAAATGACTGTTGAGAGGCAGCCATGCAACATAAGGCTCCTCGGAGAGCGGCAGGCCCGGGGGAGGGAGGCGATGGGCACAGAGATGAGGCACTGGTGTTTGATGGCCCCCAGCTCTGGGCAGAATGCCCCACAGCACGCTGCCCTCCAGCGGAGTACAGGCCGGACCTGGTCCCCCAAGTGCAGGTTTGGCATGGGTTCGAGAGGGAGTTAAGGAGAGGCTGGGAACAGCCCCAGATGAAGACTCTTTCTCATGAGCTATGGAAAGGCATCTGTCCCTCGTGCCTAGAGGGTCGAAGCTGCTGTCTGAGCTTCAGGTGGGAGCCCAGGCCTTACCCTTGGCACAGCCCCTATGGGGTGGCAGTCAGGCCCCGCCTTGGCATGTCAAGCCTGGCCGAATTCCCACCGCGCTGCACTTGTGCAGTCCTGCTCCTGGCCTTGCGGGTTCCGTGTCTATTTTTAAAAATGGAAACTACAACTGCCACACATCCCTTTAGCATCTTCTGTTCTCCAGGCTAACATAGGAAACAAGTCAGTACCACGTGTTCTAAAGATATTCACGGAATGCCCAGAAGCACGTATTTCCGACTTGTTCTCCACCCGAGCCCTTGGGCCACGCTGGCCGGGCTGTCCCTGTCTGTGCGCTTGCTCCTGGTGTGCGGGGGCCGCCCGCAGCCAAGGTGATTGTGCTCCTGGTGTGCGGGGGCCGCCCGCTCTCACGCACGGGGGCCGCCTGCAGTCAAGTTGATTGTGCTTTTGTTCAGGTTTTCTGAGATACTACGCTCACTCACAGGCATGTGGAACTTGGAGCATTTGTAATTGCTATTTATCCAGTCAACCAGAAAGCGGTACTGAGCACCCATCACAACTAGGTGCTCAAGATAAAAATACAAAAATTTTGATCCCTCCCTCAAGCAACTTACAGTATAGTAAGGAAATAGGCAGCTGAACAAATAATGGATGCACAGTGTGATGTATCCCATATAGAAGCCATCACATTTAGGAGGGACGTGGAATGGGGCTGTATGGACCCAGGAAGAGTTGGTTATGCAGAGTGGGTTTTGCAGTGTATATAGGAGTTCATGAGCAAGCCTGCAGTGAAGTCAGGCACTCCTTGCAGGAAAGAAAGCATACGCAGAGGGGCAGTGATCTGAGCAGTACCACGGCTGGAGGGGGCTGTCAGCCAGTCAGCAGGCCCCGGCAGAGAGCATGTACGAGGGGTGACTGGGGACGCAGGCAGAGTGAGCCCACCGAGGTCTTCATGTCCCATTTGGAGCTCTTACCTGCTCGTCTCATTGGCTCAGATGCCAGCTGCTGTGAACTGTAAAGAAAGGAAGCGACATCATCATATTTGTGCTTCCTAAAGATGATTCTATTATGAGAGAGAATGATTATGGGGGGGTCAAGCCAGAGAGACTGAACTGCTGGTGAACCAGGTGACCTCTGGGAGGCCTGAACCACAGCATGGAGACTTAGAGGGAAGGATGGATGGAGAGGGAGGACAGAATATGGTTCCCGGATGTGGGAGGGTGTGTGTGTGTGTGTGTGTGTGTGTGTGTGTGTGTGTGTGTTGGGCGTGGTGGGTATACAGAGAAAATGGTCCCAGAATTCTGGCTTGGGCGTCTGGGCAATTGGTGAAACTGTGAAGAATATGAGTGAAAGGCCAGGTTTACGAAAGACAAATGAACTGCATCTGGTTAGAGGTGGACCATCAGGTGGGAATTGGAAGTGGACGTCGCGGGCGTGAATCTGGGGCTGAGGAGAAAGGCCCCTGGACCCTGGAGTGCATCCTGGCTGTGCGGGAGGTGGAGGGTGGGGAGAGTGCCCCTGTCCCCACTGGGTCGGAGTCCTGCCTCTGGCGCTGTGCTAGCTGTGTGACGTTGTGGAAGGTTTTGACCACACTGAGCTTCACTCTTCTCATATATTGAGTGGGGACAGGAGGACCTACTTTCAGGCATTATTTAGTTATTTACTCAGCCATTAATTCAGCAGGTATTTATTGAGTGCCCGCTGTGTGCTTGGGCCCAGGAATACAAGCGTGAGGAAGACGGATGTGGTCTGTGCTCTGACGGCTTTCCGTCTGTCCTTTGTAGCGTGCAGACATCAGACAGACAGCTGCCTGACTGACTGTTGCCGGGGTAGATGCTGGCAAGGACAGTGTGACATAACATGGGATGCGGGCACGGCGGTGCAGCACTGCGTAGGCCCTCCCTCAACCCCAGGAGGAGTGGGAGCCCCTGTCAGACCCTTCAGGGGATGATGTAGATAGACCGTGGCTACCAGAGAAAAACTGGCAATAATGAACAAAGATTACCATTTCAAACGTTTGCTTTTAAGAGAAATACTGGTTTAGAGACTAATGGTTGAGAGGGTTTAGGGTCTTCAAGATGAAAACTTGGCCCTTTTGACACGCTAAGGGGAAGGAGCTGGAGAGAGGATAAAGTTACCGGAAATGGGGACAGGTCTCCCAGGGGACAGGGAGATGGCAAGAGCCTTGCCCCCTCTGAGCTAGCAAAGAAGCCAGTAAGAGGATTAACGGAGATAATGAGCGCATCAGTGCATCACCAAGCACTTGGCCCACTGAATGGAGGGTGCTTTAAAGACTGTGTTGTTCATGGCTGCGAGCATGTATACACACGCACCTATGCTTATACATATACGTGTAGATGTACATGCATATATATCTACCTCTCACACACACACACAGGTAAACCTTTTCATTGTGGGATTGAAGGAGGGACGTTGGAGTTCATGGCCAGTGGCCTCACTTGTCTTTGTAGAGAAGGAGGTAGGCGTCTGTTGAGAGGTGGAGCAGGGCTGTGGGCTAGAGGAAAAGCACAGCATTTTTTGCTGTTGACCGCCTCCTCCTGGTGCTCACGCTGAACGACTGGTGGAAGGACAGAGGAAATGAGGAGGTTGTGAGAAACTGGCTCTGACATCCAAACAGCTGACGCCCAGGCCTCAGTGAGGGGAGGCGCAGTGGGAAAGGGAGAAGGGAAGTGTGGAAGGTGTTCCCGAGCCTGTGACAGAGGTCAGCAGGACTGGACGTCAGGGAGAGTCACGAGTGAAGCAGAGGGTGAATGGGTGGCGCTGTGGAGGCTGCCGAGGGGGAGGTGCGGGAGGAGGAGCCTGGCATGAGGAGGCTGGAGTTGGTGAGGTACAGGTGGAGGCTGGTGATTCTGGGGTGCCAACTGCCTGTTCAGGTGGGATGCGCAAAACATGGGGATTGAAAATGGTGCTTTAAGGGGAAAGAGAGAGAGAGAAGTGCTCAAAATATGTACTTGAGAGCTAGTGGTGTGGGTGCCTTACCGTAGGAGGGGAATGTCCTGCCAGCCGAGGAGAGGGGGAAGGGAGCTCCAGGTGGAGAACCCCGGGGACCCTGCGGGTGGGAGGAGAGGTTTTCCAATCTGAAGCAGAGGGTCACCACACAGTGGGCAGGAGGAAGCAGAGACAGAGAGGGACAGAGAAGGCAGCGTCTCGAGGCCCAGGGAGACTTCTCAGGAAGACCTAGAATGTCTGTGGCTCAGTGCAAGGAGACAGCAGGGAAGAGAGAGGATACAAGCCAAGAGCTGCTCGTTGGATTAAGTGGGGGTCAGAGAAGAGCGTAGACTCGTGGATCCCTATTCCTCAGAAACAGGGAGGCTGGGAGAATGAGGAATAAGGACAAAGAGGGAACACCGAGGTGGAGAAGATGCTGCGAGCGGCTTCCAGTGTTGTGGGCAGGACAGGAGCAGGCCTCCCAGAGAGGCCAACAGGCGGGGGTGGGGAGCAGAGGGGGCGCCGGGCACCCATGGGGTGATGGCCCGGGAGGAAGGACAGCCACGTGCCCTTGTTTGTCCAGAACAGAGAACAAACAAAAGACTGTCCCCTGGCACATTCTGTTTACAAACTTGAAGCTTGCACTGTTGGGTCCTGTAGAGCATCGCTGGGCTCAGAGGGGTAAAGAACCTAGAACGTTTGACATCAGTGAAAACTTGATTGCCTAGTAGAGGCCCACAACCAAACTGACAATGTTACAAGCTTTAGTTTCCGTGACAAATGGCAGTTGTGTGTTCGTGTTGGTCGCATGGGAGCAGGTGCCTACACGTCTTCCGCCCTCCTTACCCCTTGGCACAAACACTCGCACTGTTCAGACACTTAGTGGCAAATTGCTGCTTGGAAGTTGCTTTCTTTTTTCTTTATTTTTCCACTGTCTAGATCATCAGTTTTTAATCTTTTTGGTCTCAGAGTCCTTAACACCCCTAAAAATTATTACACTCTCCAAAGCCCTTTTATATTAGCTATATAAATTAATATTTATGGTTTCAAAAATAAAATTTTTTAAATATGTATTTATTTATGAACTCACTTAAAAATAGCAGTAATAGTCTTTCTATGTTATCATGTTTTATGAAAAATAACTCAGTTTTCCAAAACAAAAAATTGAGAAGAACAGCATTGTTTTACACCTCTTTCAAATCCCTTTCATATCTGCCTTAGTGGTAGATAGCTATATTCTCACATCTGCTGCTGCATTCAGTCTTATTGAAGTATAAGAAGAAAATCCAGCCTCAGGAAAATAGGCAGAGAAGAGTATTTAAATTGACTTGTAAGATAATTATGGATATTCTTTAATAGTATACCAAAACTTGACAAGCAGTAGCTTCTTAAAGTTAGTGGCAATGTGGATTAAAGTCCATTGGTTAGTGTAGCACATTGAGTGTTACCATTTACTCATGCAAAAAAATTCTGCAGTATTTTGGGCAGTTAGAAAATACTGGTTCACTAAGTTATGCAGTCTTCCAAATATTGGCACATTTTATTACATAATGTTAGAAAGTGTTATGTGGATATTGCTAGGATTTCATCAGAAAAGTCTTTAATTATTGGAAAGCTATTAAACGCAGGCTGATGGATACAGGTTTTCCAAATTCTTAATTTTCACTTGAAAGCTTACATTTTATCATTGGCTGCAAATAGAGCCAAGTATTTTCCATAAAATGGCAGGCTCATTTCATTCATTTTTGAGAAAATGTCTCCCAGCTAACTGAGTCTGAGTCTGAGCTTGTCTCCAGTAGTTACTTCAAGTAACAGCGATGATCCATGAAAATGGGGCTAGCTGGGCTCCCCGCTGGTTGGACAGACCTGTTACCTTCAGCAGCCACCACACTTCGGCACACAGCAGAGGTACCTTCTGCCCTCTTCCCATTTTGTCGCACAGAATGTGAAGAAGACGTGTGTGTGTCCTTCCCTGCTCCCTCCCCCTGCCCTGTCTGTAGCTCTGCCGTCATACAGGGATCGTGTGTGCTCTACGTTATCTCGGGTCCATTGTGAAATGGTCTCTTTTCATTAGGTCCTGCCAACCACCCTGTGGGGCCTTCCCAGGGCCGCAGCCCAACTCCTCACCCCTCCTCGGGACACAGGACGTTGTGCCAGATGTGCAGTAGCTGCACAGTGTGCAGTTGTTTGAGTGGACACAGGATGAATGAGGTCCATGAGTTTCTCCCTAGTCATTGGGTTAATTATGGCCATTTAGGGTGTGTTTTTGCTAACTAAATTATTAGTACAAGAAACAGCACCCAAAATAGAAGCTTGGGGGAGCTCAATAAGATTAAGGCTCTAATATAACCAATGGCTTGTTGTAGCTTATTTCTACAATGTAACAAGATAAGTTTTAAAAGTTTGCATTAGTGTATTTTCTCAAATTTTATGGTCAGGAATATTAGGTTATAATTAGAAGTTACAATTGATGTTTCACTTAAATTTGATATATCTCTTAAATGTTTATATAATTTAATAGGTATGTAGGCATCACTTCTTAGGTATGTAGGCATCAATTAGAAGCAAAATGATACTTCATAATTGGGAAATATTCAATTACAGAAATGTTTCCAGTAGTATCTATTTTCACATCACACATCCAGTGCCATTCCCCTGAGCATCCACTACACAGCTGGTGAAATGTACTGGATGCTATGAAGAAAATAGGGACGTCTGCAGCGTGACCTTTACAGTTAAGAATTTCCTTTCAGACTCTTCCCATACATATATAGGAAATACATATTTCACAATACACAATATGCAAATGTATTGAGTTGTTTATACCAAATGCATTTTAAAAGAGACAGCCCAGCTGAATCTTTTAGTAAACTGATTTTTTAAATGTTTTAAATGCCCCCTAACAGCAATCAGTCAACAACAATACAGTTTGTAGCTCCCTCCTTCCCACGGTGCCAGAAACATGTTCCACCCGTACCTGCTGTTAATACCATGTAGGTAGAGGCACGCTTGGAGAGATGGGGGCCGGCAGGAAGGCTGGGGCTTGCAGCTGATGTCACCTCTGCAGCCTCTGAGGTCACACACTGGGGCAGACCGCGCCGAGTCGGCTCAGGCAGCCTTTGGACACCAAGCTTAGGAACGCGGCCTTGGACAATCCCTCTGCACATTGGAGTTGGCAGTACGAATGTGGTCATGGAGCTCAGCGGTGTTTCAGAGAGTGAGATCGTACCTCCATGTCAGTTCTGCGTCACTCTGTCACCGACTACCCAGTTTCCATGGGACTGTTCAGTTGCAAGATGGGAAGTCCGAGGGCCCCTTTTATGCTGCCCAGTTCTCCTGGCACCGGTACGGTATCCCAGATTTTGCACAGTGGGAGTAAACTTGGAACTGCAGGGTTCTGCAGGAGTCATGACAGAATCAGGCACGACTGGTGTTCCTGACCTGCAGGGAGGGGAGCTCCAGAACATTCCTTCCCCCAAACTGGCATTATTTTCTGCCAGCAGCAGCCAGAGCAGAGCCTCAGTCACACTTGGCACTCTGCATGTTTTGTTGGGGCTGCTCGCATTATGGTGCCAGTGGTCGCCCTGGCGCTCATCCTGAGCCCTCGGAATGACGGCTTCGCAGCTGCAGATGGCGGTACCGGCTCCAAACAAAGAGGGTCACAGGGTTCTGCTGATAAAGCGCGTTTTCTGGAAGGAATTCATTGCGGATTGTATGGCTGAGACACGCCGGGCTCTGCCGACCCGGGGATTTTTACGAGGCTAAATCAGCCGTAAGTCCTGTCTGGGCACCGCCCGCTTCCAGCTAAAGGCTTCTCCGAGTTTGGGTCAGACTATGTGTTCTTACCCATTGGGCTGCGCAGCTCCCGCATCCGGAGCGCGTCGGGGTAAGCGCCGTCTCAGGGACGCGTGGGGCGTCGTCGGGCAGACGGGCTCCGCCTTCACTTCTGCCTCACGGGGAAGGGTCGACAGCACGCCTGAATCACACTCGCCCCTGCTCTGCACAGACAGTCTGCGTCAGAAGATAATCAATGCTGTCACTGACGAAAGAGGGCAGGGAAGCAAAATAGCCCCCAAATAGATGGTTACTTTCATCTTGTCAAATAAAAATTATATACTATAGGGGGTTTCTTTGCCAATTAAAAAAAATCTTAATCTAGTGTTTCCTTTCTTCAGAATGTTTCATCTGCGCCCCCCCCCACCTCGTTTACCTACGTGGCGTTTTAAGTCGGTGGACACCACGCCCTGGGGTCAGAACCCCCTTATCCTCGTGCTGTTATCACTCAACCCTGCGTCCCCAAAAGGGGGCATGGTGAGAAGGCCCCACGGGGCTTTCACTGCCAAATGGATGGTTGCTGAGCCATCAACAATACATGGGCTTCTTTATCTTGGCTCTGTTTCCATCCCTGGACAGCTTATTTCTGAGAATGATCAATCTTGTAATCAGGTTAAAGCTCCTTTAAAAAAAAAGATTTAGTGCATTTATCTCTGATGTAACCCATAAAACCCAACTGCCCGTTGAGCGTGCTCAGTGTGCTGGCCTAGTGAGGAAGTGCTCGTTCCCTGGGACAGAGGCACAGGAAAAGGAGCCCGTGTGGTCGGCCTCTCCTGCTCCTCCCCTGCCCTCACTCAGCAGATGCTGGACACTGACGTGCAGTTGCTTGTGCCAGAAATGAGGGACGGAGGAGTGAGGAGTGGGCCTGTGGCTGGGCCTCTTGCAGCCCCTGGGTCCTGCCGTCCTCTCTGCCAGGGAGCAGCTGGTCCTGCTTGTCCATGCCCCAAACTGACATTTCCCTGACACCTGGGCTTGTTTCTTCCGTGAGATCACTTCCTGCATGCGAACTGAGGTTGTCACACATGCCAGGTGAACTGTTCAGGATATTTTCAGAATTCGAGGGTGTTACGCTAGGGAGTCAGAATCATTTAAGTAAAATAAACAAACAAGCAGTTATAGGGCTTTATTTCGTATGATCTGTAATTTTGAGTTGTAGTTCCTTGGGGAGGCGGAGCAGCCTGGGATGGTGATGGTGTATTACGAGGCAATTGCTAAAGGAACGGGTCCAGACTCCTACTGTAATTTAGCCTTCGTGAACAGAGCTAAAAATACCAAAACATGGTATTATAGAAACCCCTTTGTCTACTTGGTTTCCAGTCATTTGAAGCATATCCCTTGTCTTGTCACTTGTTAAAAAACAAAAAGCCGAGCCTGGGCTTGATTCCTCGCTGCAGGAAGAGCAGAAGCTCACGCAGCGAGCAGCCCTTGCTGGCCGCACACGCACGAGCCAGGAGACACGGCGCTTGCTCTTACGCGTGGAGGTGGCTTTCTCACTCCCATCCCATCCTGGCCTCCGTTTCCACGATGGAGGCTGAAAAAAGAATCCGTTTTTCTTTTCCAAATTACACAGAAAGTGAGCTCATGACATTACTGCCCTTGAACAAATAACATGGGGGGGGGGGAGAAAAGGTTTTCATGGCTTCTCAGAATAAAGATGCATTGCTCCAGAGACTAGCTGTAATGTGACTGGGAAAGAAAACGGGAAAGCGGCACTTGAAGTGGGCGGTCAGTTCCTTCCTCTGTATCTCTGGGAGGCAGGCTTTTAGCCACACTGGGGGCATCAGCAGCCACTGTACCCCTTGTCCCTGCACACTGGGTCTGGCTGACCAGGAATCGGTATTGTCCGTGCTCGCAGTGGCCTATAGCTGGGCAGAGAGCCAGCCCCCTCCTGCAGCCCCACATCCCTGCCCCGTGCTCCAGCCAGTCAGGCTCCTTGCCTTCCAAGAGAAGCACAAGACCCTCGGAGATTGCGGGCAGGAATGTGATTTCCTTAGTCTGTGGCGAGTCTTTTTCTGTAAAATAAATGCCACAGAGAACGTGCTGGAAGAGTCTGGGAAAAGCCACTCATGCTGCTGTGTCACATCAGTATTGGTTGAGGATCCTGGTCAGCCATGCAGATGGGGTGCCCTGTGTCTCCCAGGACTGGTTTCTCCCCCCACGAGAATAGGATGTTGCAGGTTTGACTTCTGCAGGTCTCTGTGTTGGCCTGGCCACACAGCCGGGAGGCTCAGGGCTGGGTCTGAGGTTGCTTTGCTCGAGGAACCTGCCGGGAGCGTTGTGGGAGGTGGCCTGTCTGAGAGTGGGGTGGGGGGGGGGGAAGGTGGGGCCAGTCGTGGCCCAGAGAGACCCAATGGGAGGCCATATCTTGAACCTTCAGCCTGTTTGGACCACAGGCTGGATAAGCAGTGAAAATCTAGAAGAGTTAAGGAAAAGGTGTGGTCAGACCTAGCTAAGATTTAAGGAAGAAAATGGCAGGGTTCAGTTTCCCGAGAGTCCTAAGTTCCATTAACATGCCGGGCAAGGTGCCAGTGCTGGGATAGAAATCTGTGCCGAAGTTTGTGGTCTTGACATCCTGGAACGTACAGCTGGGCAGAGAGGCCAGATGGTGAACCTGCTGGTATGTTCCCCCGGCCACTGGACAGGGTCAGAGAGCATCCCTGCATGTGCTGCCCTGGACCTGGGACTGGCTCTGGCAGACCTCCACGTGAGGTCGGCGGTACCGTACGCACTGGGCCAGATGTCTGGGCACTGCGCTGTGAGTGTGCGGCCAGGGCCCCACTGCTTACTCACTGGCGGCAGCAGGGCCACGCGTGTTGTGGAAGCTTCTATGAGAGGGACGAAGCCGGACAGAGCAGTAGCAGCGAGAAACCTACATTGTCAGCCTCTCAGACCCCAAGGGGCCTTCAAGGCCTCCCTCAGCTGGAGGGGGGTTAGGCTTACAAGGTACGAGGAAGTAACTGAATAAAAGCAAACCCACCAGTGGGAAAGTCTGAGACATTTGGAGGTCAGAGCTGGGCAGAGTAGTTGGTATGAGGGTTTGTGAGGAAAGTCAAGTCAGAAAGACGACACACACCAGGCTGCAGGAGGCCTGGGGCCTCCCAGGGCTGCCCCGGTTTGGTTTGGCTTTTACTCATGTTTGTTGACCGCTTGTTTCGGAGGCGGTGGAGGATAAGCGGTAATGGTGGGGCGGAGGGCAGAGTGGTTAGTGCCACAGGCACACGGAACGCGGAGGGGAAAGACCAGGGGCTCTAGATGGCCAGCTGCCAGCTGTTACGGCGGTTCAAGGACAGTGATGTCATGAGCTCACTCACCTGGGCCTGTCGGGGCTGGCGCAGGACATGGATGCCTGTGGCTTGTGCAGCACCCTACCCTGTGTTTATCCTCGGTCAGCAGATGAGGGCCGACTGGGTGCCTCCTTTATGCTGCCACTGTGATTCCTGATTCACACACCGGGCCTTCCACAGAAGAGGACAGGAGACCTAAGTCGATAGTCTGAAGAAAGTAAATAGAATGAGGTATTAAAGTTGCAATGATAAACAGTAGTTTATGCTTTTATGTGTTTAAAACAAAAAAGAAAGGAGAGGCAACCAGCTGCCCACTTAGGCGGGTCTGGGCAAGGCCAGTGGCGTTCAGGAGCACGAGTTCAGAAGGGTGATTTCTAGGGTCTCTCTTGAGCTAAGACTCAATCCAGCATGGGTCTCTGGGCCTGTACTGACGCATTTTCTGTTTCAATTTGGCCACAGGCTCTCTACCTGTCCCACAAGCAGTGGCGTCTGCCACTTCCAGATCTCTAGTTAACTTACACAGCTTCCCAGAGAATGGCGTCTAAGCCTCCAAGATGTCTGGTCAGAGCTGGGCTCTGTGCAGCCTTTGTCTCCCGCCCCCACTGGACTGTCATCTGTTTGCAGTATTTCCCCTTCTTTAGGGGCCTGTCACCCGCCACCACATGAGTGAGGCAGCGTCTGGATTCGCCCACGTGAGAGATGCCCCAGCTGTCTGGATTCCTCCATGGTAGCGCAGCTCCAGCGTGGAGACCACCACGAGTTACACTGGCTTCATGCCTGCTCCCCAGCTTCTGTCGCTCCTAAGTAGCAAGTTGACTGTTCAGCTCCACGCCTTTTCATACTCGCCGCCTTCTCACGGGGAGCGGCGATAACAGCCAGAGAAGGAGCGGGCAGGCGGCATCAGGAGTGAGGTGGGGGCACAGGCCGGTCTCAGCCACTGGCCTGCCTGCCCTGCTGGGGGGTGGCCGGGGGCCAGGTCTGCCACCTGCAGAGCTGCACAGGAGCGGTGATGGCACAGAGGCCCATCGTGGGGAGCGTGCGTCCCCCTGGGCGCCCTCACCTCACCAGCCTCTCTCTCCTCGCCTGGAGCAGATGCCTTTTTCATGAAGTAGGCTGTGTTAGGGGTGCTGTGGTGTGACGTCGGTGGTGGCTTATGACAAAATGCTAGGACCAGGACTCCACATTGTGGGGTCGGTGTCTCCTGTACTTGGCTAAACAGCGACAACAGTCACGACTGGTCAGCGATGAGGGAACCTTTCGGCCCCCAAGTGCACGACCTGGCACGTGGCGTGGAAGGAAACCCGGAGCTCAGCCTCCAGCAGACACGGTCTTAACCAGACAATAAAGTCCGCTCTGTGCCACTCCCTGTGTGTGAATTCACAATGTGCATCTCCTCCCGGCTCACAAAGCCCAACTGTAATCATTTTAAGGACTTTTCCGTAATACACAAATCCAGCTGGACCAGATCAGATCTGAAAGGGTCTCCTCACCCGCTGTCACTTGGTCACCTCACAGTGAATTTCTGGCCCGCTGGCATTTGATGCATGGGTTTTGCCTTGCATTTAGTGGGGGCTGCAGCGCTGCTGACTGCGTGGGGCGCACCCAGAGCTGCTCCGTCTGCAATCAGAGGTGCTGTCTAGGAACGCAGACCTATCGGCGTAAAGAGGCCAGAACTCTGAGCTTTCCTTGTTCATCACAGGCCTCCGATTTGCCTCACTTCTGGAAAAGGCCTTAGTGTCCTTTGTATGTGTATCTTTCTAAGCTTCCTCACTTCCATTCTTGGAAAAATTGCTGTGTTACTCAATGTTTTATGAGCAGCATGATAGAGCCCATGATCTCGGGTGCCCTGGGGGAGCCACCATCCAGGGCCTGCTCTCCAGACCCGCCGATACGGGACTGGGTTCGGCCTTGCCCTGTGGTTCAGGCCACTGCCCCACCAGCATCCTGGGAGGGGGGAGGGGGGTGCCGTTTTACCATGGCAGCCCCTGCCCACTATTGCAGAGTGGTTGACATGATTTTTTTATTTTTTAAGAGTTATATTCACCAAACCCTACTCAGCATTTGGTAGTTACTCAAAAGCCTCAATTCCAAACTTCCCAGCAGAAGCCAGGCCCCAGGGAGGGGCGGTTGGGCTGGTGGAGAACAGGAGCCCCTGGGCAGCTCCCTTCTGTGCGTGTCACCAGGCGGGGGGCAGCGTCCACC